GCGTGAGGAAAGAGGTCGTACAACAGAAATATATTGTGGAGCCCAGCATACCAGAATTCGACGTAATAAGAGAATAAAAGGAATATTTGTCTATCAATAAACGGACTTTGACGAAGTAATGTCTTTTATTGTGAAACAGACAAACTACTAAAGTGTTGCACCGAGAGGAAATGTTGTCCAGATTACCGGGAGAGAGAAAAATCATGTTGATAGTGAAATAAAGAAAGTGTGAAGAGAGGCGAAGCACAGAACATGAATAAAGGCGAACTTAAGGATATCGATTACAAAATGACTCATGGAAGCTGACCCAACGTTGAGCTCGAGTAAAGCACGTTCCTCGACTCAAGATGGCAAGTCTGCGAGATGCCGAGGCCAAGGAAAACATCTAATACAAGACATCGTCCGCAAAAACGGCAAGACACGAGAAATGCGTGGGATGTGTATCGAAATCAACTAAATCGATGCGTGGCAAAACGGTTGGCCAGACCGCGTCATGTACGTGAGAATATGAGTTGATGGAAATTTGAATCGGAAATCCGTCCAGATAGGACCGTAGAACGAGGAACTAGGAACTACCAAATTTATCACAATTGGGTGTTACAGTAATAGAGAATACAAAGGAAAAGACAACAAAAGCGAAAGTTGGGGGCCCCTTAGAGGGATTGGGCTTACACTTGCTGCTACCAGCAATCGTCGAACCTAGAACAGATAGATCGTCCAATGTTCATTGCGCATCTACCAGATAGACAATCATATGAACCCTTGACAAGCTAGTTACTAATGCCGACATCGACCACGTATGCAACATCAAACAGCCTACGGTGCAGTAAGTGACAAAGTGCTGAATGGTCCGCGATTCGGACTCGGCCATGGGAAGACGTACACCTTAATAGCCCGCGACTCAATTAACCAGCTGCGTCTAAATGCGAGCTAAAGTACGGTTGAGTCCATAAGTGAGCAGAAACGTTATCTGCTCTTTCTGTGAAAACCATTTTGTGGAGCGGGAATGGATTGTAACAAACCTTCCCCTGGAACCCAGCTAGGTGGACAAGGTTGTCTTCTATTGCTGCTTCGTTCTGCTTTTTGCTTTTTGCACGGTTTTTTTGAGCAAGCATGTTCAGCACTAGGCTTTCTTACCACACTCACGCCGCGGTAAAGTTCCAGTCAAGTTTGTGCAGAAACTGCGAAGCGCCTACTAATCCCTTACTCGATGACTGTTCGTGTGAGATGGGCATCATTTTGAATTCATCAATAAACCAGTTGTACATGCATTCATTTTAATCAGGTTCTGTGATAGTGTACTTCAGGTGGACAGAACAGCTACTGTGGATTTTTTAGGATGGGTAATAGCTGCATGCAGTCTTGGATGTTCCATTGTAGGTTTTGAGCTTTAATATTAGTAAACACAATCTTCTAAGGATTTTCTTTTTTCCGATTTTTTTCCTGCCTTGCTCAGACAGTAACCTTAACCACTATTCTTCAAACGGGAATAATGATATGATTCATTCGTACGCCTGCTCCACCGCACCAGGATATTCTATACCCTGACGCGGTGGAGCAGGCGGTCCGCAGATTATGCTAAGATGAACAGTGCAGAAAACAGAGCAGGCAGTAATTTTCCGAGAACGTGAACAATCTAGGGTACGCCATCAAAGGCCGCTGCAG